CTCAAGAAACTGAGGCAGGTGGATCAAAAAATTCAAGTCCTGCCTGAGCAATTTAGGGAGACACTGTCTCAAAATAAAATAAAAAGGGCTGGGGATGTGCTGGGGTTGTGGCTCAGCGGTAGAGTACTTGCCTAGAATGTGTGAGGCACTGGGTTCAATCCTCAGCACCACTGCTGGTGCCATCCCAGTCCCCGGCCCTCTATTTGCTGGGCCATTTCAAGCACGTCACTTAACCTCTCTAGTCCCAGACAAAACAGGGATGTGTTAAGTTTAAATGGAAAAAAAAAATTTTTTTTTTTTTGTAAACTGTGTAACTGCGAATAATATTTCTCACTACCCCTGGCAGCCCCTCTGCAGGACAGAGGAGATCATGCTATTCCAGCTCTGATTGCCACGGTTTGTGCACAGTTTGTCCAAGTGTTAAAAGAACTCTCAGAAGCCACGCCTCCTGGGAGACAGCAAAGAAAGGGCGGAGTTTGTCTTGCCTTAGGGAGTTGGCACAAGGGTGGGCGAAGGCCCAGGTTCCCCGGGACCAGCTACTTGACCTTGGGCCGCCTTTCTCAGCCTGGCCTGGGCTGGCCCTTCAGTGCTGTAGAGCTGATCCCTTCTCAGCCGGGGGATTGAGCAACTTCAGCAAGCAGCAGAGCAGAGCCAGAGCTCAGAGCCCTGCTGTCCCTCAGAGTCATGAAACTTTCCCTTTATCTTTCCAGCCAGCCAGTACTCCACGGGGCTCCCTCCCACTCACACCAGCAGTGGAAGTCAGGCCAGCAACGGTGGACTGGGGTAAGGGACTCTGGCTGCCCGTAAATTATCCCAGGATGAGAATATTTCCAGGCATAGACACAAGCACATCTCAGACTGTGGAAATGAGTGACTGTCCCAAGTCTTGAGACTCAGGACTAGTGTGTACAGAGCACTTGTGACTTCCCCAGGCTCCCTCCCTCCTCAAGGACCATTCTGATGGCAGAGGAACAAACTGCTCTGACCCTGCTTCAACTCCTAAGCCCAAGGGATTGAAGTTGAAGCTATGACACGGGGCTCTGTCCTCGTGGTGTTCATCTAGTCCAATGCCATCTGATACACTGTGAGCCACCTGAACATGGTAAGACCTTCTAGCAGCTTAACAATTAAAAAGGAGCAGATGAGCCAGGCACATGGCATATAACTGTAATATCAGTGATTGGGAGGCTGAGGCAGGAGGACTACAAGTTCCAAGCCAGCCTCAGCAATTTAGTGAGGCCCTCGGCAATTTAGTGAGACCCTATCTCAAAATTTAAAAAAAAAAAAAAAAAAAGAGTTGAGGATGTGGCTTGGGTTCAATCCCTGGAACAACAAAAAAAAAAATCTTTTTGCATATTTTTGGGTACCATGTCTTGCAAACTCCCAGTGTATTTTGCTTACAGCACGTCCTCATTTGTGCTGGATACACTCCAGGTGCTCATTAGCCATGCAGGTCTAGGTGGTGCCGGCAACATTTTTTGTAAAGGGCCATAGATACACACGGTAGGCTCTGCAGCCCTGTTGGGACCACTTGACTCTCTCTGCATCAGAGACGCACCCAGGTGGTGCCCAGATGATGAGCGAGCCATGTGCCCATGGGCCCGGGAGACTGTCTTCACAGAACAGTCAGCTGGCTAAGTTCACGGCCGCTATAAGCCACAATGTTGGATTCTATCCAGAAAACAGGAGGTTCACAGGCTCACGTTCCCCAGGCGGCGAGGGGCGTCCACTGTGGCTTTTCGAAACTTCTCTCCACCTCCCGTGACCAGCTCTCCATTGCTGGTCAAGGTCGGCCAATCCAATACAGCACCAAGTGGCCCCAGAAATGGCCCCAGACTCTCTAAAGCACAAGAGGAGAAAAGGGACAGTGCCTCTCCACTTGGGACATCCTCATTCCCTTGATTTTTTTTTTTTTTCTCTCCTGCTCAACACTCTGTAGGTTTTCTATGCGTCCTGTGGAAGTCTGCCCATCCGTCTGTCCTGGGCTGGTCCGGAAGTGGGGTTACCTGATGGATTTTAAATCTCAGCAGTGACTATCATTGCCCCCTTTGGCAGCCACTGAAGTACGTGTCCACACCAAGGATGGGAAATGACACCCAGAAATGCAATGCCACTAGAGGATGCCATCTAGTGGAGACTGGGTGCTGGAGGGCAGGAGGGCACCGAGGGCCAGGCCGGGATGCCAGGGTCCAGGCAGGGGCAGCAGACAGGCCTTCAGCAGGGTCCAGAAGGCTTCAGGGCCTGGGAGGGGCCACCCGGGGGACCCTGTGACCTCCCTGAGGTGGACTCCAACAGAGCAGCAGGTCCTAGAGACAGACACTCTCCTGGAGACAGTGCAGCGGCCCCACGTGGGCACGTGGGCACCCAAGCATGCATGTGCGTGGCTGCCCACACACAGCAACACTCCCATTTCCAGAACTGCACTTTATTCTCGAATGTTTAAAACTCAGTATTTTGGAAGTCGCGAACATCTAAGTTTAAGGGCTTAATGCTTTTGAAGTAAACTCAATTCTGCCATCTTGTAATTATTCTAATAAATAATTAGAATAAATAAAAGAAATAAGATACACATTCAATACACTGTCAAACGCTGGATGTTTTGGTGCCTGCAGAGTCCCAGCCACTTGGAGATGTTCCAGAGCAGGCTGCGGCCCCTCCCTTGTCCTCAGGCTGGACAGAACCTGGGCTCCTCCTGGATGAGAGCAGAGGCCAAAGGGAGGGCGGGAAGCGGAACCCAGGGCTGATGGAGTTGCGAGGTACACACACTCACACGCACACTCGCTCACTCACACACGCATGCACACACGGACACGCCAGCGCCTCTCCACCAAGTGGACCACTTAATAGCCGCGACCTCCCCAGCCACCAAGGGGACCTGTCACCCACAGCAGTTCTGCCTACACCAGCACATCCCACGGGCAGCCAGACTGCTCTCTGGGGGGACTCAGGGACGAGCCCTCTGCTGCGGATGGCAGCCAGGCCCTGGTGCACTGCCACTAGGGCACACCCTGCCGGTGCCCTTTTCCACATGGCTGCTTTGGTGAAATACTGCAGCCAGGCACAGGGCACACACCTGTCATCCCAGTGGCTCAGGATATGGCTCAGTGCCCCTGGGTTCAATCCCTGGTACCAACGAATGAATGAACAGTTAAAAAAAAAAACTATAGATTGAGTGACTTAGACCTTGTCCAAACCCATCCTTTCTCCACCACCACACTAGGACAGGGCTTCCACATGTGAATGTGGGGTCCATCCATAGCGCCACCAAACTCCCGTCTCTACAGATTACCCTACAAGTGACTTACACCATGCTGTGCGCTAAACCTCCCAACGGGGTTCCATGCCAACACCTGAAAGCTCTTGATTCCTGGACAGTGGAGGTCAAGGTATGCTTAGGTGGCATTTGGAGCTAACCTTAGCACTATCCACACTGGCATCCTTGATGCCATGAGTGATGTGCAGTTTAAAAAAAAAAAAAAAAAAGTCTCCGGCATGATGGCTCACCTCTGTAGTCCCAGCAACTCAGGAGGCTGAGGCACAAGGTCATCTGTTTGAGGCCAGCCTGGGCCACTTAGTGAGGCCCCTCAGCAACTTTTGAGACCTGGTCTCAAAATAAAAAGGACTGGGGATGTAGGTCAGTGGTTAGGCACCCAAGTTCAGTCCCTGGCACCAAATACAAGAGTCAAACAAGCAACCAGAGGTGTAGAGAGTGCTTGCCCAGCATGTGCAGGTCCCTGAGCTCCATCTCCAGCCACACACACAGACTGTTCCAAAGAGCAATTCAGTGATCACCTGGGGGCAGGGAGCAGGGACAGGAATCGCCACAAAAGGCCACCAGGGGCTTGTGAGGGGGATGATCAGGCTCCCCAACAACAGGGGTAAGTTTTACAAGTGTAGATATGTGTCAGTTTTGAGGGGTGCTGGGCATTGAACCCAGGGGTGCTCTATCCCTGAGTTACTTCCACAGCCCTTTTCATTTTTTGAAACAGGTTTCACTAAATTGTTGAGGCTGACCTCGACCTTGCAATCCTCCTGCCTCAGCCTCCCTGGCTACTTGGATTCCAAGCATGCACCACAGCAGCCAGATGTCCATCAAAGGTTAACAAGCTGCACCCTCAGAACACGTGCCAGTCATTATTGATTATAGCTTCATTAAAAACTGTTTAAAAGACTGGTCTGTGCAAGGGGACTGTGTGCACCCATCCTGTTTCTTTCTCACCAACACTACTGTCCCTACCAAGTGCTACGCTATCCATCCCAGCACCTGTCCCAGCACTGCTGGGCTCCCAGCCACGGACTGCCCAGGCTGCTTGCAGACAGCACCCCAATGACCACCCCAAACTGCCCCCTATGGAGCCGTGGGCAGTCTTCTCTGCAAATGTTTGCTAAGGAAAGGAGTTTCAGTGTCCAGGGACACCCTGGCTCCGGCTGGGGTGGAGACTGGACACCGCAAGGGCTGCCAATCCAATGGGTGATACACGACACCTGCCAAAGTGTGTGTCAGACAAACTAGCCCTTTCTAGTGTGAGCCGCAACGCATCTCAGTCAATATGAAGACTTGCGGCCTTCTGCTGCGAAGGCCCTGCTGGGTTATCTGAAATTTAAGTTTAACCCTTCTCTGTTTTACCTGGCAACCTATTTCTAACTGAACACTTAAATTCAAGGTTTTCTGACCCTTCTCAGATTAGGAAATAAAATCACAGAACTGACATAACACATTCAAATTGGATAAACCCCATGAATGCTCAGATAATGTGCCAAAGTATATTTAAGAAGTTCAAGCCAGGCACAGTGGCACAAGCCTGGCACCCCAGTGACTTCGGAGGTTGAGGCACAAGGATCACAAGTTTGAGGCCAGCCTCAGCAACTCAGAAAGCCCCTAAGCAACTTCATGAGACCCTGTCTCCAGATAAAAATAAAAAGGGCTGGGGACATGGCTCAGTGGTTAGGCACCCCTGGGTTCCATCCCTGGTAGCAAAAAAGTTAAAAAGTCCATACAACAAATTACAATAAACATTTATTAAGATGTAATTTTCACAATATTTTAATTCTGTTCTGAAATCAATCTACAAATCTCTCCACATAACACCAAAGCCAGTGATTTAATAAATAAGAGGAATGTACAGATCACTTTGCAAAAAAAAAAGAAAAAAGAAAAGAAAAAATAAGCCAGATAACATTTATATCTATAGATCATAGAACCCACCTCCCAGGGCACATGGAACTCACACCGGCCGGGCTCGCCTCCTGCAGCACAGACCAGACCGCGAAGACTGTGCCAAACAAACTGAGCGCACAGAAAGCCGACCACCAGACAGCGCACCTCGAGTGTGCGCCATGGCAGGCACCGCACAGTGGGGCTTCCAGCTGGGAAGAGAGAACTTGACAAGGTCCTAGGCATGCACCCAACCATCACAGGAATTGATCTAGTCACAGGGACACAGGGACACAGGGACGACGCTGTGGAGAACTACAATGAAACCTCAGGAGCTGCAGAGACAGAGGGACGTGTGCTTGGCAACATCAAGTTTAACCCTTCTCTGTTTTACCTGGCAACCTATTTCCAACTGAACACTTAAATTCAAGGTTTTGTGTTCAGCCGACTGGGCAAATCACAAACCGGTTCTGTGCTACCTGAGAACTGTTTTGGGGAGTGGCCACCTATGGGAATGCAGGGTGCTAAGCGGCCTCGGGTACCAGGTCCTACTCCACGTTGACAATTTTAAGGAGACTATGTTGGGTCCTGTAAAAAGCACACAATTCAGCTATTCACAAGCAAAGAGCAAGAAGTCCAAGCAGTCAAAGAGCCAAAAATAAAAGTTCCCCAGGATGATAATATGCCTTTTAAAAATCCACGGCTGTGGGCTGGTGGGCCGCTCCGTCAGTGCCAGGCGCCAAACAAGCAAGCGAAAAGGGGCAGGGGGGCTCAACACTCAGGAGACTTTGGAGGTCCCTCTAATGCAAGATGGATGGCAAGAGCTGGCTTTGTGACCGGCAGACTCAAAACCCACCAGGAGAAACTATCAGTGTCTACCTGGAAGCCAGATGTCACTCATCAAGGCATCTTAAGAACTAGCAAGAAGTGCACACAGTGCCACACGCCTGTAATCCCAGGAGCTCAGGAGGTGGAGGCAGGAAGATCGCAAGTTCGAGGTCAACCTCAGCAACACAGTGAGAACCTGTCTTGAAATGATAAATAAAAAGGGCTGAAATGTGGCTCAGTGGTAAATTGTCTCTGGGTTAAATCCCCAGGTCCGAACAAACAAACAAACTAGCAAGGATTGCGGAGAGGAAGCATTTCAGGATGCCCCTGGCGACGAGGCACAGCCCTGTCCCCAGACACCGTGGAGAGTCATCTCCACGAGTCATTCCTAACCCCCTGCAGGCCCGCTGACCCCAGGACCAACGAGTGGCCAGAGCAGGTGTCACTGTCCCTGAAGAAGTTCTGCTATGGTTCTCCTGGCCTCTCACCCAATCCCCATGTTCTCAGTTCCCATCTGGTCACTTCCTGGCCGGCACCCAGGCCTGTCCCAGTTTCCCATCCCTTTGGTCGTGACCCATGTGGCCTAATGGGGACCCATATTAAAATTTTCCAATGGCAGCCACCTCCAGGTACTATCACCAACCACTGGTGTGGAGGAAGCCCTGGGCACCATCCACTAGGCCAGTTTTCAAGACCCCCCATGGCTGTACTTTGATGCCAGAGACCACAGGGAGCCATGCACAAAGCAAGAGCTGGATAAGGCCACCAGGCGCTGGGCAGCGCTCAGGGCCAGGCTTCTGCACCCAGAGCAGCTCCAGATGCCCTGCCCAGGCGGCCACCCAGACCCAGTGCTCCAGAGATGGCCCCCTCTTCCTTTCCTGGGCTCCTTTCTGTCCTTGGTAAAGCAAGTGATACTGAAGCTCTGGGAAATGAACACTGGTTAAGTTTGAGATATCTAAAAAACTGACCCTTAATCATGACAGAGTCGTGGCAGTTGCCATCAAAACAGTTTTTTTTTTTTTTTTTAATATCACATTCAGTGAAGTGCTGCACTAATGTATTCTATAGGCCTGACGGTATAAAAAGGTCTCTCCTCGAGGCTATGAGTTATGGTACAAAAATACATTTTTTCACATACAAAAGAGAGAAGAAAGAAAGAGATGTTGGGGGGAGGCCAGATACTCTACAAGCTTCCACGAGTGGGGTTAAGAATACACCCAAACAGCCAGGCGCAGTGGGCACGCCTGTGATCCCAGCCACTCCGGAGGTCACAACTTGGTGAGGCCCTGTCTGGGGTTAGTGAGGCTGGGGCTGTGGGTCAGTAGCAGAACACCGCTGGGTTCAATCCTCAGTGCCAAAAAAAGAAATGTACTCAAACAAAGCAAAATTTATGCACTAAAAACTATTCAAAATTTTTCAGGCCTGGGCCTGGGGCAGGGCTGGGGCAGGGGAAGGGGGGGTAGGAGGGTTGGAGGGGGTAGTAGGAGGGGCAGTGGGGCCTGGGGCTGGGCTGGGGCAGGGCTGGGCTCAGTGGTGAATCGTTTACACAGCCAGGAGCAGGGCCCTGGGTTCCACCCCAGCACCAAAACCCAAGACAAACCTTAAACCTACCATCTCAGGGTTTCTATCAGAATTTCAAATAATGTTCTACCCTGAAATGATACTGGTTAATGATAGTTTCTTCATTAAAAACGAAGACATCTTTTACTTGAGTATATCAAACTATAAATGTGGCTTCAGAGCTGATACAAAAACTGAAGAAAATACTGTGTGCTTTCCACAGTGACTTTTGGCCTCACCCCGCCAGCACCCAGAGGCACACCCCATCCGACTGCCCAGGAGTTAAAAAGATGATGGCTCCAGAGCGGGAGGAATGTGGGCAAAGGTTGGGGTGGATGTCACACCTGGACCAAGGACAGCTCAGGCATGATGACCTCAGGCAGAGGAGCCCCTGCAGGGCAGGACTCACCAGCGCTGTGCACAGAACCGACCAAGGTGTGCAAAGCCATCTTTGGGTACCACAACCTGGCACAGCCAGACCTACACAAGGAAACAGGCCTACAAGGGCCTCAGGCTGCATGTATAAGGGGACAGCTAAACGACAAAACTGGATGCCAATCAATACAGATTCCCCCAAGCCAGCCCCAGAACAGGGGTGGGTCCCAGGAAGCGAACCCAAAGCTGGAGTCTGAGTTGGAGACACCTTGGGGACAGACCTTCAGACACACCCTCTGAAGCATCTGCCTCTGCCTCCCGGTACTTGAAAAGGAAAAGGGAGGGTCGCTGACGCACAGCTCCGAGAATCGGGCATACACAGTGCATTCCGGGTGGCACCTGGGGCCTTGTGCTCAGAGCAGAGGCACCACCACACAAGGCTGCGTGGGCCCAGGGAGGGGCACAATGTGCAGCTGCAATCCCACCTACTCCAGAGCCTCATCCCGCCAGGGCTCATCGCCTCGCCCGACAGGGTCCAGCAAAGGGCGAGTCCACCAGCCCCCATCCCGCGCCTCGCCTGGGATGCCCCAGCCGTCCACCTACAGTGTTCCCCACTTCCCCAGAGCCCACCCAAAGGATCTTGCACAGAAAGCAACCAATTCGTGGGTTGTGAAGATTTCCAGAAAAACAATTCTGATCCCCTCCAGGGCCTGTTTCTCCTGAGAACGTAGAGAAGCAGCAGCGGCGGCAGGACTGGAAGACGGTGCAGTGGTACCAGCCATGATCTCAAGATCTCAAGTCACCTGGGCAAGATGGGCCAGGGGATAGACGCCCTCGGGGACAGCTCTCCCACACAGGCCTCACCCCCAAGTGGCAAAGGCAGGTGGCTCCAGGCCCCTGCTAGGCCTGCAAGGCTCCACCAGGCGGTTTGGCGCCAAGTCCCAAATCCCTGAGCTTCTTGGCTCTGTCCGTGCGTTCTCCTTCCAGAAATGCTGAGGTTAAATGCATTACGACACAGGGGCAGGAAGACCTGGGGCTCCCACGAATGATGGTTTCTGCATTTAGAAAATATGACAGACAGGACTGGTGGGGTTCCCAGGATCCAAGAAGTTGAGCTCCAGCCTCAAGCTCAACTGGCCCCGCTTAGAAGTGACAACACCCACCCACCCAGTCCACATCAGCCACCAGGACACACAATAAAGCTCACAGCCCTGCACCACAAAGAGAAAGCACAGACCTCACCCACCACCGGAATGTTGTAGAAACAAACACTGGCATTTAAACTCCTCTAAAAAGATCAAATTAGCATATTCTCCCCTTCAGTGTGAAGTTCTCATAAACTTGACTCAATCTGCCCTTGTTTAAAAACCTTACAAAAGATGTATTTAAATGCTTGAAAAAATTAACTTTATGTTCTATGCACAGATAAATTTCTCTTACTGTACAGCTAATAGGGTTATATCCTTTGTTTAAAAAATATTTTCTCTACTAACGACACATGGCGTGTAGTCTACGTGAATGGTCTCGCATCCTTCTTGGACCGGGTCCTAGGTTGACACGCGGTTAGAGACACCTCACCAAGCGGCTCCTGCGCGCACGGTGTTTATTGAGACTGCTTGGGGGCTGCTGCGGCTGCTCTTCTCCTCCTCTTCTGTCTTCTGGCCGGCGGACCCAGCCGGCCGGCTGACCTTCACTTGTCCTTGGAGCGGTCCAGGCTCTCCAGCACCCTGTTGAGGCGGATGTTGAGCAGTCTGACCTGGTTCTCCAGGTGCTCGAGCTTCTCCTCCACGCTGGGGCCCGGGCTGCTGCGCCAGTAGAAGCCCATGGGCCCGGTCATGAAGTACACGGCCACCACGAGGCAGAGCGGCAGCACGGCGTTCTCGGGCTCACCCTCGTACTTGTGTAGGATGTACACGCAGGACATGGAGAACAGGAGGACCCGCACCACCCAGAAGAAGCGGCCGAACACCAGGTGCAGGATGCTGAAGGTGAAGCCCAGGGTCAGGGACAAGAACCAGTAGGCCAGGAGGACGACGCCCACCAGCAGCAGGGCTCGCGCAGGGCTGTTGGCCACAGAGGCTGGGCTGAAGTACTGGGAGAGGCTGGAGACTGTGAACAGAGCACAGGACAGGCCAGTTAGTCCCCGGGCCAGGGCTTCAAAGGCGCCTACAACACACCAAAGACCCGTGGTGAGTCACGCCCTGGCCTCAACACTAAGCCCTGTGGGAAGACACAGGAGAACCCTCCTGGGATCTCCTGCATGGTGCAGGCCTAAACACCTCCCGGGGACACGCAGCACTTGCCTAGCGCAGACGAGGCCCTGGGTTCCATCCCTGCGCTGCAAAAAAAGAGAAAGAAAATGGCATTAAAATGCCTTAACACTGGGCAGAGCCTATTAGTGGTCCTTCAATTTCCACCCTAGGCTAGTGCACAGCTGCCTAAGATAGAGACTTCCCAGCCTTCATTACAACTCTATAACTAAGTTTCTTGCCAAGAGGAGGTAAATGGAAACATTTTGAAGTAGCTTCAAGAAATTTTCTACAAAAGGAGCAGACGTGTGCCCTTTACCACCTCCTCTCTCTACCTGATGGAATGGATGCAGTGACTAGAGCTGGAGGAGCCATCTTGGTCCCTGAAGAAAAGGAAGTTGCCTATGGAAGGGACAAAAAAAACAGAAGGTGTGGTGGCCTGAGGCGCAGCAGAGCCATCATACCGCCTGACCACCTCTTTGTGAATGTCACGCACAAGATGGAAACATACCATCTTGGCCAGGCCACTGTGACTGAAGCCTCTGTTCCTCTGGGCCTGTGACTCACACGTGGGGTTCCTGTAGGAATGGAGTGGAGGCTGGGGCAGGGTCGGGGCAGGGCACTCGTCTAGGCTTGTCTGCCTAGGTGGGACCTTGGGTTCCATCCCCATGCAGAGGGTTACGGAACGGAGGAGTGGGAGCTCTGTGTGCCCAACTCAGGTAGAAAGTTGAAAGAAGAGAGGAACATCCCTACTGAGATCGCCTTGGCCGAGCGGCCCTCCAGCGTGCCACCTCTGCCCGTCTCTCCACACTGACTACTTTTCCAGGTTGAATCATTTGGAAAATGGACACATCGAATCCCACCACACATCTTTTTTTTTTTTTTTTTAGAGGAAGAGGGAGGGAGGGAGAAAGAGAGGGGGAAAGAGAATTATTTTTAATATTTATTTTTTAGTTTTCGGTGGACACAACATCTTTGTTTTTTGTATGTGGTGCTGAGGATCGAACCCAGGCCGCATGCATGCTAGGCAAGCGCACTACCACTTGAGCCACATCCCCAGCCCCTACCACCACACATCTTTCAATAGAGTCATGGTCCTCCCCAAAGCCACAAAGCTGAGGTGACTCCAAGGTATGGCTCCAATTTCCCAGTTACCCAGGAACACATCTAGCGCTGCTTCCTCCCTGCCCCACAGGGCCACTGCTCTGGCCCCCTCTAACCCAGGAGTGCCATGGCCGTGGCCCTTGGTCGTCTCTGCAGGCCAGTCTCCCCAGAGTTCTGCACTCTGGTGCAGCCTGCTGCTGCATGGAGCAGCTGACCACGCCTACGGCAGTCCTCTCCAAGGCCTCTCCCCCACGACAGCCACCCTGAGGCTCAAGGGGGCCTCAGAGCTCCGGGGAAAACAGGACACCACACTGCCAACCCTGCCCAGGACACGGACTCGGCAGGTCTGTGCCAGGTCTGCACTGGTCCAGGGTGAGGCTGCTGCTGCTGATCTGAGGGTCACACCCTGGGGTCCTGCAGCTTAGGTGCAATAAGCTCCATGTGTCTGGGGGTGGGGGTGGAGTATGTGGGGACATGCTGGAGCAGCCATCAGGACCCTGAGCAAGAGTGAGCGAGGGCCTCAAACCCAGGGCCCACGTCCCTGATACCCCTGCAGGACGAGCACCTCCCAGCCCCTGCAAACGATCAGATCACTGCCCAGCGCAGGGCTCAGGCCCAGAGCCCACTCCCATGAACAGAAGCCCAACTGAATATGGGGGCCACCAGGACTCCCTGAAAGCCACAGTCCTCCACAGGAGCCTTCCTGGGCACCGCCTGGCTCTCAACTGCACATGGCCTTGGCCCTGGAGCCAATCCTCACACCAAACCCCACGGAGGATGAGTCTCCACAACTCCGGAAGCCCCGGCCCAGTCCTCTGCCCTCAGCAGCAGACCTCAGGAGCCTCTGCTCAGGTGGCCACCCAGCACTACCCATCAGGAGAAACTAGAACTCAGTTAGCAACTTGTTGGTGACAGCAACAAGTGAGATTCACTCACTTCCTAGCAACGATGCGCCATTGCAGGTGCTGGGTTCATGTCCCCTCCACAGTCTGCACTGAAATCCAGACCCCGAGTGTGACGGCCACAAGAAGTTCTAGAGGTGACTGACTCACGATGGGGCTGGCATCCTCATGGAAGAGTCTCCAGGAAGCTGTCCAACCCCGTCCACAACGCGAGGACACAGGGAGAAGACGCTATCCGTGACAAAAATGTCTTCACCAGATACCAAATCTGCGGGTGACCTGGCCTTGGATTTCCCAGCCTCCAGAACTGTGGGCATCAGGCTGTAGTCCCCCCAGCTTAGGGGACGTTCTCATCGCACCCATGATTAAGATGATAGGCAAACGCAGGCACCTTGCAGAACTGACAGCAGAGAGTGGGGGCACTCTCCTACACCCCCAGGTCTCCCCACAGCTGGCCTGTGGGAAGAGCCCGGCTACTCACAGAATGCCAGCCACGCAAGCCCAGCACCACAGAAAGAGCAAACAAACAGGCAAGACCAAGGTCCACAGGATGTTAAGGCCCAAACGATCAAAATATCACTTAAACATGTCGATTAAAAAAAAAATTACTCAAGTATGTGTTCAACCCAGAGGTGTCACAGGGAAAGGGAGCGATTCCTTTGAAGGGGCTCAAGGACCCTCCTGGCATCCCTCAGGGCTTACTTTGAGAACCACTGGACCAGACTACAGGTCCAAAGCCACATAACACGTGCCATGCTACCAAAAGGTGATCAGCAGATACAGACATCCACAGAGACTGGGTGTGGCTCAGTGGCACAGGCTTGCCTAGCATGCTCAAGGGCCTGCTTCCATCCCCAGGACCCCCTGGTCACCTGCAGCCAACACGGCCACCCTGCCCTCTATACCCCCCGAGCTGCAGCAGGAACAGTCATGTCAACCAGGGGATGCGCTCAGAGGCAACCTCAAGGGACATGGTGGTGCACACCTGTAAGCCCAGCAGCTCAGGAGGCTGAGGCAGGAGGACCATGGGTTCAAAGCCAGCCTCAGCAACTTAGAGAGGCCCTAAGCAACTCCGCGAGACCCTTTCTCTAAATAAAAAATAAAAAAAGGTTGGGAATGTGGCTCAATGGTTGAGTTTCTCCCAACTTCAATCCCCAGTACCAAAAACAACAACAACAAACCCTAAAAGGGGCCACCTCACTTCTAGCTCTTCCAACCCCCGACAGAACACCAGGACCTGTGATCCAGCCAGAGCACAGGGATACTGGACTGGCTTTCTAGGGCTGCCACAACCAAGTGACAAACCCAGGGGCTTAAAGCAACTGACACCAGTTCCCCATAGTTTGGAGGCCAAAGATCTGAGCTGATGCTCAGCGAGAGGGTCCTTCCGAGGCCAGGCAGGACCCCTCCTGGCTTCTGTGCTTGCTGGCAAGCATCGCGAGCTGCCCTCGCTGCGTCTCACATGGCTTTCCCCCGGGGTCTGCCCATCGTCTATGCCCCTCTCCCATGAGCTGTGCCCACAGAGCCAATCCAGACCAGATTCCAAGACCTGGCTCGGGTCGAGCACACTCATCCAAGATGCCTGGGACCAGAAGCGTTTTGGATCAGGGTTTTTCAGATTTTGGAACAGCTGCGCAGATTTCACCAAGCTGAGCACCCCTAGTCCACGTACCCTAGATCTAAAATGCTCCAAAACATGACACGATTTTAGTGTCATATTGGTGATTAAAAGTTTCGGATCTCAGGGCTGGGGATGTGGCTCAAGCGGTAGCGCGCTCGCCAAGCATGCGTGCGGCCCGGGTTTGATCCTCAGCACCACATACCAACAAAGATGTTGTGTCCGCCGAGAACTAAAAAATAAATATTAAAAATTCTCTCTCTCTCTCTCTCCCCTCTGTCACTCTCTCTTTAAAAAAAAAAAAAAAAAAGTTTCGGATCTCAGGGGCTGGGGTGTAGCTCAGTAGGCAAGTGTGTGCTTAGCACACAAGACACCTGGGTTCTACCCCAAGCCTTCAAAAGAGGGGGAAAAGAAAGAAGGTTCAGATTTCAGAACATGACTTTGAACTTTCTGTATGGGGTGCTCAGCCTGTACCTGAAAAATGTGTGATTTCTATGCTGATTACAAGTTGAGAAGGTGACATTCTGACTCTATTAATAAAAATACCTTCTCAAAACTAATTTTACCATTTTTTTTTATCCTTTCTAATCAGAACTTTCCTGCAGTGCTATGGATTGAACCCAGGGGTGCTTGACTTCTGAGCTGCACCCCAGCCCTTCTTATTTTTTAATTTGAGACAGGGTCTTGCTGAGTTGCTGAGCTGGCCTGGAACTTGTGATCCTCCTGCCTCAGCCTCCCGAGTCGCTAGGGTCACATCCGCCACTACCTGGAAAACTCAATGTCGTGTTTGCTCCTTTTGGACTGCTCTGGGCCACCCCCCTGAAAACCTATGAAAAAAACTATGAAGGAAACCGGCCAACGGTGCTCAGAAGCCCTCGGTCCAGTGCGTTCACCTCCGGCCCACAGTTTCCAGGGAGAACTCTGTGCACAGAGACCTTTATGCCTCACGGCCTCCTAGGGCCTCCCAGTGCCCTGAGGTTTGTGAGTGGAGCACAAAGGACAAAGCCAGAACATGGGGAAGCCTCTGCAGGTGGCTGCTCTGGTGCTCGGCCATGGCCAGGGGCATGCTCCCACACTGTAGGTCTTACAGGTTGGTCTCCAGGGCTCCCTGACTGAGAGGGAAGGCCCAGAGGCTGACCTCCAGGCAGCGGAGCAAGGACTCCCGCAGCATTGCACACGATTGCTGCATCTGGGGCTGTGTTGGCTCAGCCAGGCCCCAGGGGCTAAGCACTGCACGGCATCCTCAAGAGGATGGAGCAGCGAGGCGGCCTCCTGGCTCCTCTGAGGTCTTTCAGAGGTGGCACTCCATGATCCAGGCTGGGGACTGACAGCAGAGCGTGACCAGCGTACCCCTGAGCAGTGCCAGGGCTCCGCGAGCTCCCAGATCTGAAATCAGAGCTGCGCTTCCTGTGCCCACCTGGTGACGGCTTGGGCTGCCTCACCCACCTCCTGCCCTGGATGTGTCTGCACCCAAACTTCCCACTTCTTATGGGACAACTGTCGAAACAGCGAGGGCCACGTGAATCCGAGGTGACCTTCCCAAAGCTTGCTCACATCTGTACAGACCTGTTCCCAAATGAGGGCCCACTCACACGTCCCAGGGACACAAGGCCACCCCGACTAGCAAGGCCACAGGACCGACAGTCTTCCTGCCCTTAGTATAAACAGAAGGCCCTCTGCGCCAGGCAGAGCCAGCAGGTGGGCAGAACACAGGCCAGGCTGAGCACACCCAGGGCAGCCCCTGGGGAACACCCGAGTAGGAGTTTGCATGTGGGGTGTCCCTTGCTCCCGTCTCTGCAGCAAGGTCTAGAGGTGAAGTGATCATGAGCGCTGTGGGGTGATCAGTCCACCCTGGGGTGACAGCTGAGTGGGCAGGGACTACGGTGGGAGGACCGGGAGCTGGGCCACAAGGGTCCCCTGGATGGCCGCATCTTCCCCTGAGCCCCTTCCCGCCCTCTGCTTCCCGGCCACTGCAAGGTGAGCAGTGTCCCCACTGCCATTCCACCAGGTGTTCTGGCCCCCTGGACCCAAAGCGATGGAGCCAGCCCATCAAGGGCTGAACTCCTAAAACCAGGAGCCCAGAGCGAGCTTTCCCCTGTCAGCCACTCCTGTCAGATGTGTTGGTCACAGCAATGACAGCTAACTTTTGCAGCCTGCTTGCCTGCTAGGAGCACGGCCTTTGGTACGAGTGGGCAGTATCCATGTAACCAGCCCCATACAGACCCAGGTGCTGACCGTCTACTGGGGCCACTGGAAGAGACAACTTACGCAGCCTCAGGTGCACAACCCACAACTGAGGGGTCAGTCTGTCCTGCCTGAGTCCAGGGGGCTCCAGAAGCCAGCATCTGCTGGGCTCCCCGAGCAGCTTCTCTCTCTAGACGTGCTTGGTGTCCTTTGGCTCTAGTAAAACAAGCTGTGAGGATACTGCTAGGTGGAGTCCTGCGGCTCTCCTGGTGACCACCCACCCCGGAGGCGACGTAGACTCCTGATGGAGTGAGAGGCTATAGCAGGGCCATGTGGCAGAGGTGGGAAGAGGGCCTGCCCAGGGACCCCCCAGATGGCCCACTGCCCAGGGCCTCCTTCCCCAGGACGGCCGGGAGCCGGTACCCCGCAGGCGAGCTGGGAAGAGCTGGAGAGAGGCTTCATGCTGACGCAGGGGACACCATGGGAGACCTCAAGTGGGAGAAGGGCATATGCTCTGGGCATAAAAGCCAGCACACAGTAGGGCCATGCCCAGGCCAGCTCCTGTAGTCCTTGGATAAACACTGAAGGCTTTGCCACCCACCCTGCCCTGGGGAGAGGGGGACAGTCACCCAGGGAGGAAGGCACAAGGGTGGGATGGCCAGACACAGAGCCCCTCACCACCTTGCCCTGCCACCGGCCAACCCTAGTACTGAAATCCTTGCCAGAGGGCAGCAAGGGCCGTAAGTGCCCCAAACCCTCCTCCTGGCTGAGAGTGACTGGCACTGCTCAGGTGAACCATGCGGCACCTCGGCCCAGCAGGCCGTTGGCCACCCACACTCCCGCTGGCTGCGGCAACACGGCCCTGCCCCTGCCCCGCACCACAGAGCGAATCCAGGCAGTATGGTGGTGCAGGAATCTCCTGGGCCCAACTCCCAGCCACGACCTTGCCCCTGGACTCAACAACCCCAGCAGGCCCGGGGGTCCCCATGACCCCTCAGGTGTCCTGATGATTCTGTGAGTGCCTGATTCTCCATGAAATCTCCCTCCCTAAACAATTAGCTTTTTTTTTTTTTAATGGATCCCAGCAAACCAGGTCCCCATGATTTGCCTCCCCAGAGGCACCCCCTCGCACCTCGTCCCACAGGGTGCCTGAGAGGTGGAGGCCTTGATGTTCACTCACATGCACAGCTGCTGAAATGAGAAGATTCACCAGCAACGTCGGTTGTCCGCCTTCAACTTTCCCACGCTGGGCTGACAACGTACTCAGGGCTGACACCGCACCACTGGGCCACACTGAGACCACAATAAGACAGCCCTCACCTGAGTGTCCCCCACACCTACCATCAAGTCCAAGGACATCCAGGAGCTCCATCCAGACTTTCCACAAGGTCTCCACGAACATGTCCACTCCCAGCACGAACCTCTCAGTCAGCCGGGTCAAAAACTGCAGAAACAAGAAAATGGTCTCTATGAATTTGGCCACGGCACCACCATCGTCCTAATCTGGTCAAGAAGTGAGTGCTGAGCTCAGGAGATGACACCTCCACAGGAGGGTGAGCCACCCAGATGGCATGAGAGTGGTTGAGAAGCCCGTGGAAGAACTTGAACTTGGCGCGAACGGACAGCAGGTCAACTACTGAGCAGGATCTGGCAACACGCAGCTTCTCCCTTCCAAGGCCAAGAGGCATCTCTAGGGGATGAGGCCTCAAAGCAGCGGCACTGCGACTGCCATTGCTCCAGCAGTCCTGCTTACTCTTGGCCAGGTCTCTGCTCCTTTGCCTGGTTTTTCACTTCTAAAGAGTGGGAGTTTCTGGGGCTGGGATGGTGGCTCAGCAGAAGAGCGCTCGCCTAGCACGTGCGAGGCCCTGGGTTCGATCCTCAGCACCACATAAAAATCAATAAATAAAATGAAGGTGTTGTGTCCATCTACAACTAAAAATACATAAAATGAGAGTTTCTGTCCCAAACCTAGTTCACCTGGAGGTTGGCCCTCTGAGGGAGCAACTCTGACATCAAGAGGACAGATTCTTTAAACTCCAGCATGACAGCCTCCTGGGAGCAATCCTCCCACCTCAGCCTCCCAAGTAGCTGGGATTACAGGCACCGGACACCAGGTGTGGCTTAACTACAGTACTTTAAGTTCTTGAAAGACTAGGAGAGAGGGGTGGGGTTAGATCATCAGCCAGGAGAGCACAATCTGCCTCACTGGGGCCGCCATGGGCTACCTTACAGATTCCTATGTCCCCAGGCTTCAGGGCTCCAGGGCTCCAGCTGCCAGGTGAGGACTAGCACCCACCTCGCCTGGTTGTGGCAAGCAAAGGGTCAATGGTCAGAACTCCCCCTAACACCCAACATTCCAACAGAAGCCCTGACCCCAAAATGTCCTGTGAGGCCGTCCATCTCTCAGCCTTGAGAGACAGCCCAGCTTCTCAGCACACGGCACTGTTAAGTGATGCTTGACACACAGTAAACGTCAACCAAGATTGTCCACTCTAAAAAAGAAACTGTCTAGCGGTAAGCACCTGGCCGTCTGTCCCAGGACCACATGGACACCCACCAATAGCAGATGAACAGTGTCCCACATCTGACGATGGGTTACCCCAGGGCCGGGAGGAAGGAATGAAGCACTGACTCACGCCACATGGGGGACCCTCAAGAAGTCACACCAAAGCAGCAGGCACAAGGCCACACACAGTAAGACTGTCCGCGCACCAGGAACCTAGAACAGGCAGATCCAGCCAGGGGCTGTGGGGAGAGAGCTGAAACTCAAGAGGGCCTGAACCCAGCTCCGACTTTCCCAACATCCCCATGAGCAGCACCCATTCCCCTCCACCCAACCTAGGCAGCCCTACTCTGCTGTCCTGTGCAGGACTGCCCTGCCCTGCCCACTGCACACGAGTGTCCCCACAGCAGCACTTCCTGCAGGCCGACCTGTCACTCGTGTGGCAGGCTCGCCCTCACAGCAGCACAGCCCACAGCACAGCCGAGGGGCGCCTTTCCCTCGCAGACAGTGCTCCACCCACAGGGTACCACAACACACCCTGAGAGCGGCCGGGCCACGCTGGGCCATCTGCAGCGATTCTGACGACTCATTCAAATGGGGGGAAACAAGAGGCTTTTGTGAGGAAAGGTGGCAGACCCCTCGGTGTCACTAAGTGTCCCAGCAGCAAGCACCATAGGGACAAAGGGCATTGCTGCTCACACCACTGAGCCTGCTGGCCTCAGTTTTCCCAGCTGGAAAACGGGCCAGGAGGATCCAACACAGGACCTGCCAAGGCCCCAGCCTGGGGCCTGGTGCTCGGAGGTGGCCTCTATCAGACCCCGCCTTGGAAAACACCTCCCGTGCAACCTGAGCCTGCCACAAGTGCTGCACCTGAGGAGCAGATGTGTCCAAGCAGCACCTGGCAGGGCAGGAAGGCGAGTCCAGAGGGAGGGCTTTCCCAGGGTGAGAAGCGCCCACCTCCCCCGCGGCAGGGTGGGCGGGAAGACGGCCCTGGTGGAGGCCCACCTGGCACTGGGGGGCCCTGTCCCTTCCGCAGGGCTGGCCTGGCTGCTCCCTGGAGGCACCTGGTCTGGATGAGGACAGGTGTGCCAGGGGAGTGAAAAGCCCTCTGCCGTGCCCCCAATTCAGGCGTTGAGCCCCTAACTCCAGGGCCACAGGTGTGGCCTCAAAAGGTGACTCTTTGGAGTCGGGGTCCCTTTATAGAGACGACTGAGGTTAAACTGAGGCATTGGTGTGGCCCAAGTCTAGCAGGACTGGTGTCCTTGTAAAGACATGAGGACAAAGGGACAGCCATGCAGATCCAGAGAAGATGGTGCTGGGCCCAGGAGGACCCAGCTCCCCGCCACCTCAGTTCCAGCTTCCAACCTGGGGACACGCGTGTCTGCTCTCCAGCCTCCCGGTGGGCAGCTCTGGGCGTGGTGCCCAGGCAGATCAACTCCAGGGCTGGGGCCTCAGGAAGCAGATCCATCAGAGACCCAAAGGGCCAAACTGAGCCCAGCCCCTAGCTCTGCTGGCTCAGGGAACAGGGTAAAGGAGAGAGAAGGCACATGGGCTGGGGACCAGCTTCAGAACCTGGTGCGGCACACCTGCTACCAGACCAGACTCTCGGCCAAAGAAAACAGTGTTACATCCGGGCGGAGGGCGGTAATCCCAGGCACTCAGGGAGGGAGGCTGAGGCAGGAGGATTGAAAGCTCAAGGCCAAAAACAAGGCTGGAGGGTGGGGGGGAGCCTGGGTCCAACCCCAGCACCACAAATTCAAAAAGACTTAAGGGGGCTGGGGCTGAGCAGTAGAGCACTCGCCCAGCAAGTGGGAGGCACTGGGTTTGATCCTCAGCCCCATATAAATAAATAAATAAATAAAATAAAGGTATTTTATTTTAAAATAAAATAAAACATATTAAACTATTAAACAACTAAAACATATTAAACACAAAGACTTAAAGACCATATCGATCACATACACAAAGATTTTGTTTGCATTCTAATTCAGAGACTTTGTAAAAACCCTGTATGTCAGGGAAATCAGAAATGGATTTGGGTTAGGCAACAGGAACTGTTCTGAGCTGTGACAATGGTATCAGGGTGACGAATTTTACAAAAATTCATTGAAGACCCAGATGGAAGTACTTAAGGTGACCTCATCACTGTGTCTTGGGCTCTCTTTAAAATACTATTCCAGGGGCTGGGGATGTGGCTCAAGCGGTAGTGCGCTCGCCTGGCATGCGTGTGGCCAGGGTTCGATCCTCAGCACCACATACAAACAAAGATGTTGTGTCCGCCAAAAACTAAAAAAAATAAATAAATATTTTAAAAATAGGGGTATTGTGTCCATCTACAACTAAAAAATAAATATTAAAATACTATTCCAGGACAAAAAATACCACCACAGGGGCTCTAACAGCAACAAAGCACTTGCCACCCTGGTGGTGCAAGGTCTTGGGTTCGGTCCATAGTACTGCAAAAAAAAAAAAAAAAATTTAAGCAGAGGTTGGATGTCCCCAGAGTGGCAGGAAGGGGGGTAGATGGTGCCCAGGTACACGCTGCTCTCCTCCCTACCTTTGCCTGCGCTGGACAATTATCAAAACAAAAAGCTGAAACAAGGGCCAGGGGTGTGAACTCCGAGGCCCCCACCAAGGGAGGGCCAAGGCCACTCGCACCCAGGCTCCTCAGCCCCCTCTAGCGCAGGGAGAGCAAGGCCACGCAGACAGTGGCCTTTCCATCCCATCTCCCTCCACCCCAGCACACGCAAACTGGCCCAGGGGAAAACCAGGTCAAGTGTCCCCTGGAGCGAGCCAGAGAAGGGTGAGATTCTCTGAGTGAGAGGTTTCCCAGGCATCTGAGGACTCACCACAGAGGCCTGGGACTCCAGAGCCCAGGATGCTGACCCAGGAGGAGGGCAGCTTAGCAAGGCCCTAAGCAACTTAGTGAGACCCTGTCTCACAATAAAATAAAAAGGGCTGGAGGGCTGGGGTTAAGTGGCAGAGCGCTTGTGAGACACTGGGTTCAAGTCTCAGAATCACCTAAAAATAAAATAACTAAAATAAAGGTCCATCAAAAACTTTAAAAAAAGGAGCTGAGGTTGTAGCTCAGTGGTAGCACGCTTGCCTAGCATGTGTGACGCACTGGGTTCAATTCTCAGCACCATATACAAAAAAATAAAATAAAGGTCCATCAAAAAACTAAAAATATTTTTAAAAATTAAAAAAAAAAAAGGGCTTGGGACATGGCT